GAGTTCTCCCACATTTGTGCTCTCTTTACCCACCTGCTTCTCACCATGGGACGTTGCTGCGCAAAGACCCTAGTCTGCTGTCCCTGTCACCCTGGACTCCCCAGTCTCCGGATGTAAGAAACAAACCTCTGTTCTTTATACAGTACCTGACCTCAAGTATTCTGTGATACAGCAGAAAAAGGAACGAAGAAAGAAGTTTTTCAGGCAAGAGGAAGGTGGTGCCAGATGGAAGAACAGAGCTCACGGGGCAGATGTGTCTCTGCAAACCAAAGACTTTCCTCTCCAGTTTAAAAATGTCTCTTTTGAAAATATCAACTTTTTAAAGCCAACACCCCCCCATATATTGTGAAGCTTATAACACATGTAAAATGAGGTATGTGGAAGCCACAGACCTAGCCAAGTAGCAGAGGGTACACAGACTGCTCCCGGGAAGCTGTGCCAAAGTTAAGGGGCTGTAGTGAGCTGAATGGTGACTTCCAGAAAGATCTGTCCACATGCAAGTATCCAGAACTGGGCAATGCTCATTTAGGCGGGGGGCCTGGGGTAGGGGGAATCTTTGCAGATGTAACTTAAAGATCTTTTTAAAAAATTGTGTGTATGCATGATTGAGTATGTGCAGGAGGACCTGCATGTGTATGTGTGGAAGCCAGAGGCCAAGCTCATGTGGCATCCTCAAGAAGAGTCCACCTCCTTTGAGTCAGGGTGTCTCATTGGCCTGAGGCTCAGCAGTTAGGCTAGAGCAGCTGGCTAGTGAGCCCCAGGGATTCGTCTGTCTCCTCCCCAGCACTGGGATTACAGGGACATGCCCCTGTGTTCGGCATTTTTATATAGGTTCTGGGGATCCAACTCAGGTCCCATTCTTGCCAGGCAAGTGCTTCAGCAACTCAGCCATCCTCCCAGTCCCAAGTTAGGGATCTGGGGATGAAATGGTCTTGGGTTATGGCAGTGAGCCCTAAATCTCTCAGCAACTGTTCTTATAGGCTGGGTGTGGTAGCAGGTGGATCTCTGTGAATTCAAGGCCAGCCTGCTCTACATAGAGAGTTCCAAGCCAGCTGGGACTACAGGGAGACCCCCCCTCCTGTCTCAGGAAGAGGAGGAGGAGGAGGAGGAGGAGGAGGAGGAGAAGCAGGAGGAGGAGGAGCAGGAGGAGGAAGCGGAAGAGGAGGAGGCACAGGAGGAGGAGGAGGAAGAGGAAGAGGAGGAGGAGGAGCAGGAGGAGCAGGAGCAGGAGGAGGAGGAACAGCCACCAGGAGCTGGGAGCGGCAAGCGACCGATGTGCTCTCTCACCACAGGGAGAACAGCCCTGCCAGCACCTTAACTCAAGACCTCAGAGCTGTGAGAGAATAAATGCCTGTGGCTCTAATCTACCACATCTGTGGCCACTTGGCATAACAGCCACAGGAGAGCAGCACAACTCTAAGTGTGAACTCTGGAGAGATGCCACAGAAAGAAAAAGAAATGCAGATAGTGAGTGGACCAACGAAGGAAACAAAAGAAAATTGTGAAAATGTCTTCAGTCCAAAGAGAAGACCCAAACAGAGCATCACCGAGTGGACAATCGACAGCCAGGCGGCAATGACAAGGACACTGCGTTTGAATGCACCAGTGTCGGGCACAGCCAACTTCACAGGTGGGGGAATAAAAGAGAAAGGCGGGTCCCATCAGGGCTAGGGGAGTGAAAAAGGCAAGATGGTGGAGCTCAGGTTATATGGAATTTACTACAATAAAAAAAGTAAATGGGTTAAACACCCTAATCAAAAGGTAGAGGTTTTCAGATTCAGACACTGTGGTGCACACCGTAATTCCAGGACATGGGAGGTTGAGGCAGGAGGGTTGCAAGTTCAAGTCCTGCCTGGGTCACAGAGTAATTCAGGGCCAGCCTGGGCAACTTAATGAGATTCTGTCTCAAAATGAAAATTTGGAAAGGGGCTGGTGTACTTGCTCAGCATTGGAGACCCTTGGTTCCCAGTACTACAGCAAATAAACATGCAACCAGGACATCGAATTCTAGGTGGCTGTACTTAATGCACGTCTTTCACATTCATGAAAAAACCCTGAGATAACTGAAAGGAGAGGCTGGCCTTGAACTCCTGCCTCTCCTGCCTCCACCTCCTGCTGCTAGGCTTACAGAAGTGCACTGCCATACCTGGCTGTTGTCTTAGGTCTTCTTTCTCCAGTACACAGTGCACACTGGCCAAGACAAACTGTGTTCCACTGTTGTGACCCTGTATCAGTCTAGGGGTCTTGGATGGGCACCATCCAGGGGTTGAGTTTATTTTCTCAGCTAATTAAAGAATTAAAATGTAGGCAAAAGATCAGACGAGCAGACAGAATTTGTTGAAAGATAGAGTCATATCCATATCTACATTCATTCATGCAGAAAGAAAAGCACTGTACAGTGAAGGGAGAACCTGGAAACCAAAAACCCAATCCCCCTGGGGAGGGCCTAGGTTCTAGTGGCTTCCCTTCCCCTAATTTTGGATTGGTCAGCTTAAACAAAGAAGTGGGTGCTAATAGGTCATAGCCCCAAGCTGAGATCTGTCCAGGGTTATGAGACTAAGCAGATCGGTTGAAGGGGCCCTGTGGGAGTTAAAATTAGGCCTCTCTGCCAGACCAAGCAGCAGCAGGCAGTGATCTTTACTGTTCCCCAGTGATTCAGCTTGCCTATTAGGGTCTTAGTCCCTTACACCAGGGCATAAATCAAGTCAGAATACATTTCAAAGATTTATTTTTTAAATTTTATCATTTTTATTTTATGTGTATGCATGTATTGCCTGCATATAGGTAAGTGCACCCGTGTTGTGCAGTGCCCATGGAGGCCAGAAGAGGCTGTTGGATCCCCTGGGACTGGAGTTACAGACAGTTGTTAGCTGCCATGTGGGTGCTGGGATTTGGACCCAGGTCTTCTGCGAGAACCAGTGTTCTTAACCACTGAGCCATCTCTCTAGTCCCTATTTATTTTTATTTTGTATGTTTGCCTGCATGTATATATGTGCATCACCTGTGTGTAAGTGCCCACGGAGGTCAGAGGAGGTCATCAGATCCCCTGGAGCTGGAGTTCTAGGAGTTGTAAGCTGCCTAATGTCGGTACTGGGAACTGAACCCCGGTCCTTTGCAAGAGCAATACGTGCTCTTAACTGCTGAGCCATCTCTCCAGCCCTGAGTCTAAGCAGTTTGAATCATCCTAACTACATTCACAGACCGAAACTAGAAGCCGAGCTGAGAAAAACTACAGATTAGAAAACAGATGTACTCCTGCAATCCAGTTCTTGGAGGACTGAGGCAGGATTATCACAAGTTCAAGGCCAGCCTGGGCTATATCGAGAGACCCTGTCTTGAAACACATATACATACAAGGTGATGTCCACCTGTAATTTCAGCACTTAAGAGGTAGAGGCAGAAGGAGTAACAGTTCAAGGCCATCCTTGGAATATATAGTGAGGCCCGAGACCAGCTTGGGACATAAGAGATCCTGTCTCAAAAAATTTTTAAAGGGGTTGGGGGAGAGGAGAGGGAAGAGAGAGAGAGAGAGAGAGAGAGAGAGAGAGAGAGAGAGAGAGAGAGAGAGAATGAAAAAGCGGGGGTATGGGGGTGGAGGTATGGGAAGAGAGGGAAGAGAGGAAGGAGGGGGAGGAGATGGAGGAAGGATGAAGGAGAAGGGGGGAGAGGGAGGAGGAGGAGGTCATCAAATCCATGACCTAGCTTCCTCAGTGCTTAGGGCTGTCAGCTGCACCTGTCCCCTGCTTGACTGAAGGGTCAGCACAACTCCAATCAAAATCTCAGAGGTTTTTTGTTGTTGTTGTTGTTAATAGAAAATGACAAACTGATTCTAATTTTACATAAAGATCAAATGATCAAATATCAAATGAATTAAAAGAGCCTAGAGGAGCCAAAGTGATTTTCAAAGGAAGTGTAAAACTAAAGGAGTTCCATTTCCAGGTTTCAAAACTCCGTGGAATTCTCTAGCAGCAAAGACCCCCAAGGCTGGCACTAAGGCGGTCACCTGCACACAGATGAGCCCAGCCCAGGCCTGGGCCAGAAGATCTGTGGCAAATTGATTTCCCACCAAGGTACCAAGGAGATTTGGTGGAGAAAAGAAAGTTTTTACAATGGATTGCACAGGAACAATGGGGTACCCCGGGGGGGTGGATCAAAATTTAAACTTGACCCCCCTATGTAAAATGAACTCAAAATTGATCCAACTCTACAAGCTTAAATTGCAATGATTTTTCTACATTGAAAAAAAAAGGCAGGGGCTGGAGGGATGGCTCAGCAGCTAAGAGTGCTTGCTGATCTTTCAGAAGACCTGAATTCAGTTCCTAGCAGCCACATCGGGCGGTCCACTATCACCTGTACCTCCAGTTCCAGGGGATTCAATGCCCTCTTCTGGCCTCTTCAGACACTGCACTCCTGTGCACAAACCCACACAGAGACACGTGTACACAAAACTGTTTTGAAGGAAGGCATAGAGGTGGAAACACAAGATGTCGCACCTTGGGGTGGAGGCTGCCCCTCCCCAGTCCACATGCTGATGCCCTCATCCTCCGTGGGATGGTATTTGGAGCTGAGATTTAGAATTTAAATGATTAGATTTAGATGAGGCTATGAAAGTGGGGTCCCCAGAATAAGGGGGTGAGGAGATGCCAGAATGGTGTTCTCTCTCTTTCCTTTCCGTATTTGCTCCCCTTTCTCTCTCTCCCTCTCTCTATCCCCCTCCCCTCCTGACCCTCTTCCCTTGGACCCTCCTGAAGATATAGAAACAAGGCAACATCTGCAAGCCAGGAGGAAGGTCCTCACCAAACCAGCACCTTCACCTTACATGTCCCAATTACCAGAACAGTGTGACATACCTTCTGTTAGCTAAGCTGCCCAGTCTATAGCAATTTGTTACAGTAACCAGGGCTGAGTAACACAGATACTCAAAACCATTAGTCATTACAGGAATGACACTGAAAATTAAAACCATAGCGAGATACTACCCCCTCTCTAGATGGCTAAAATTGAAAAGACTGACCATACCATGTGCTGATAAGAACTCAGAGCAACCTGAGCTCTTTGTATGTTGCAGGTGGGAATGCAAAGCGGTGTATTTACTTCAGAAAATGGTTTCATAGCTTTTTATAGCATAAAACATATAATTAAAATATGATTACTATATGAATCAGCTGTGTCCATTCTAGGTTTTCACCTAAGAAAAGGGAACATGTGGGTGCAAAGACTTGAACACACATAGCAATAAAAAAAACACACAAACAAAGAACAATCCTACAGACTACAGCTCACAAAAAGTAAGGCACTCCCCCGTGGTCAGTTGGCAGCCAGTGGCACCACTGGAAGGGCCTGGGACCTGCAAGCGGAGGGGAGGACTGTGGGGTCACTATGGAGACTGCAGCATTGTGCAGGGGAAAGGGACCCACACAGATGGCTGTGTCCTCTCTGACACAGCTTATAGAACATTCTGGAAGAAACAATAGTGACAAAATCAAACTGGCAGTTTCCAGGGCCTGGAACCCAGGCAGGCAGAGCCTTGGGTGATAGACTCGGTTCTTCTCGTTCAGGTGATGTGACTATATATGTTTCTCAAACCTCATCAAATTGTACATTTAAACCAGGAAAATGTTAGTGGTGCATTATTCCTCAATAACGTGAAAAAATGAATTATGATGATTGAAATTTTCTATCAAACAGGATGAGGTGATGATATGGAGGAGCCAGGCAGGGTGATCCTGGGCCTGTCACCCCAAGAGGGTGGTGGGCAGCAGGCAGTTGAGTTCAGTGAGGCCTGAGGCCCTCAGCCCTGGCACCTAAAAGCCTCAAGTGGGGGAATTTTGGCTTTGTGAGGACTCTGTGGATGGCCAACCTGTTTACCTAGAACCCCAGGAGATGGGCTGGAGGCTGCCAAGGACTGGCACAGTCTGGGGGCTCAACTCTTTCTCACCACAGTTAAGGGCCCACCCAGAAGGAGTCCACTGGCTCCCAGAGGGTCCCACAGAAATACATGTACACACTTACTAAGATACACTGAACAAAACAGAGGTTGGCTCAAAACAGACCCCCATCTCATGAGGTCAAAGGCCTTGGCTGGTGTGTGGACAGAGGCAAGAGAGACCTGGGAGGGACATGGGTCATTTACCCAGAGGAGCAGGGCTGGGGTGGGAAGACCTGGGGGATGCTGGGCCCTCTCGCTGGGTCCAGGCTTCAGGTCTTGAGAAATGGCTTAGGGAGGCAGCAGTGGCTAATTTGGGGTTCCACGGGGTGCCCCATCCCCATCTGTCCTCATCGTGTGCTTGAGGAACAGGCTGTAGAGCACCCGCAGTGTGCTCTTGGCATCCTTGTTCACGATGTCTGTGGGCAGAGGGAGCAGCTCATCAGGCCAGGACAGGGAAGGACTATCTGTCCAGGTGGCCAGGACAGAGAGGCTTTGGGGAAGATTTTGTTGCTCAAACAGAAAGAATTCCCAGCAAGCCAGAAAAAGGGTCTTGTCAGGAGTCCCAGCGCCCACCACCTCCTGTCTAGGCCTTCCTTGTACCCCCTTTCCTCCCCCGTAGCGACTCAAAACTGGGCTTCTTCGAACACTCATCCCCGGGGTCCTCAGCCCCTGCATGCAGGCCTGGTGGCTGCAGCGCCCCTTCTAGGAAACCCCAAGGCCAGGGTCTCTTCATGTGCCTACAAACAGGGGAGCCCCACCAGCACGTTTGTCCCCCACATCCAGAACCTGCTCTAAGAAACACCCAAGATAGGCCATCCAGGCAATGGGTGACCGAGCACTCACCTTCGGGATTGACGGGATAGCTGAGCAGGCCTTCATCCTTCAGTAGCTCCAGGGCCAGCGTGACATTGTGCAGCTATAATGACAAGGCCAATAGGGTGTCAGCCAATGAGACCTCAGGTCCAGGTACCAGGCCCATCCTGCCACCTATGACATCCATCCACATCCACCCCAGGTTTGAATCACTGAGCCATAACAGCAATTAGGGGACGACCAGTAGTTCCTTCCATTGCCATGGATGGGGTGCTCATTCCCTCACAGCGGGGCCCCCCTCAGATCTCAGTTCTAAGCGGGTGTCATGCGTTGAACACACATGATCAAGGAGGCCACTGCTAGTGAGAAAGGTCTTCACTGAGGAGATTAGGGATTGGGGATGAATGGAGGATGGGGTGGGGCTTCCTGATGGAGGTGACACCCTGCATATAAGTGTCAATGAGGGGACTCTGACTTGGAAGGGAGCTCGTCGGTGGTGGGATCCCCTTGGAAGGTGGTGAGGAGTCTTTCTCCACTCGGAGGACCACTGTCAGGACATGGGGCAGGCAGAGTGGCTGGGACTCATAAAACAAGAGCACAGGAAAGGTGGATCACAAATCACTATTCGGGCTGTCCAGGGCTGGGCACCCTTGGTGAGGTCCAGATCAGGAGGTCCAGACCTGGTCTGTGAGGAGACCAGGGCACCAGGCACAGCCCCGCCTCTATGTCCCTGAGCCCATCCCCCGAGGCTCCCCTTTATAGGAGGCTTCTTGAGGGCTGCCCAGGAAGCAAACCAGAAGAAATCTAAGACTCAAGACCCTGCTTTGCACCTCAAAGCCCTGCCTTGGATGCTCCTGGCCAGCCAGCATTTCCCAAAAGCATGACCCAGGGTGTCAAGGCACGTGGCATCTGTGGCCCAATGGAAACTGTTGGGTTAAACAGAGTCATACTGATTCCTTCACTACAGGACTACTCAGAGCACTGAGCATGTCAGGGTGCCCTTCTGTTATTTGATCATAGGCCCCATCTGTCACAGAGCACCTCGTGGGGCCAGTTTTGGGAAATACTTCATTCCGTCACTTTTTTTTTCTAGTGCTAGACTTGACTAGGGCTTCAGACACGTTCAGCACTAGGTAAGCCACTGGTTCACATCCCCAACCCTCTCTCTACTTTGTATTTTGTGACAGGTTCTCACTAAATTGTCCAGCTGGCCCTAACCTCAGTCTGGAGCCCCAGGCTGGCCTTAAAATTGCAATCAATCTGCCTCAACCTCTCAAATAGTCGTGACTGCAGGTGAGGAGTTACCAGGTCTCCCGCTCTGTGTCTTCCACAGACCTCAGACTTTTCACTTGGGCTCTGAGCTAAGCAGCTGCCAGATTTCACACTTATTTTTAAAATCTGTTTATTTATGAAGGGAGTGCATTCCATGGTGCACCTGTGGAGTCAGAGGACAACTTGCAGGAGTCAATTCTCTCCTTCCACCATGTGGGTCCCCAGGAGCCAATTCAAGTTGCCAGGTTTGGCAGCGAGTACCTTTACCCTCTGAGCTATCTGTTGGCCCATCCTTCACTTATTTTGAAAATATTTGTTGAGCGTCAACTGTGGCTGTCCATGCACAGGGACCAGAACCAGACTAGTACTTACCCTTGGAGACACAGTGCTGAAGGACCGCACAGAAGACACTTAAAATACTTTGGCTTCTCCCCTACACTCTTCCTCCTGAAAGCTCGTTCTGAACTAAAGATTGTCTCCTGAATAGCTGACCAGGCTCCAGAGAGGCCAGTCTCGCCCTCCCCAGCCTGTCTGTTGTTTCCGAGCAGTTTGAGATGATGAAGGGGAAACTCGATGCTTTACAGAGCCGAGAAAGGTCAGGACCCAGGAGCCAGTCCCATCTTCCTGGGAGAGATAATTGAATGTGCAGGAAACCAGCGCTTCCTGGATCCTGAGCTTTGATTTCCGCAGAGCAAACGAGCACCTCTTTCTCCATCCCTAACTCCACTCCAGAAATGAGTGACGACTTCCCATCAATACTGCAGGCAAGCAGGGCCTGATAATGAAAGACAGTTCCAGGAGGCCAGAATGGTCCACTGTGCCCCACCTTGGAGAGAGCTTCTGCCGCCGCCAGCTAAGACCTATGGGGATTGTCATCCACAGTCCTCCTTCAGGGCCCCAAACTCCTCTCAGACTCGGAGCTAAGCAGTTGCAGTGTTTCCCCCACTCGGGGTCCAAAGCAGGTTCTAATGTCAGTGGGCTCACAAGCTGGTTGTGCCAGGGATGTTGAATGTCTAGGTGGCTATCCTGGCCCGTAACTGGAGTTTGGAGCTTGGAAATAGCCAGTTCAGGTCTTGAGTCCTAAGAAGCCCAGCCACAGGGTGACAAGCATGCAGGCCACACTGCTGAGCCTGGGCTCCTGTGGTGCCCCTCACTCCCTCCTCAGACGTCTCATGGTTCATGCTCAACGTTTGGCCTGGTGAATGTATTCTATGTTGTGAGCCTCTTAGGCCCCTGCTCCCTCCCTTCCATAGGCTCGTACAAAGAAGGGATGAAGGATGGATTGTTCCAGAAGCCAGACTTGTCACAGGAATCTGCGTGCCCCAGGGAAGCCTGGTGGGCTCTAAGGACTCAGTCTTGCCCTCTGTAAAATGGAGACATGACTTGCCCTCCTCTTCCCAGAGTGTGGAGCAATGTGCCAGGAGAGGTGGGGCCTAGATGGGTAACTCTGAGGGACCCGGGAGAAGCTGCATCAGGGGTATGCTGAGTGCTGGGAGCACTGAGGAAATGAGACGGGGTCAGAGCCCGCTGCTAGGGAGCAGCTGAACAGCAAAGCCAGGCGAGGCCAAGATACCTGAGGTTGTGGAGACCTGCAGAGCCAGTGGAGAGAGACCTGAAGGGACAGTGGAGAGAGACCTGCAGGGCCAGTAGAGGCCTGCAGGGACAGTGGAGAGAGACCTGCAGGGACAGTGGAGACCTGCAGGGACAGTGGAGAGAGACCTGAAGGGACAGTGGAGAGAGACCTGCAGGGACAGTAGAGGCCTGCAGGGACAGTGGAGAGAGACCTGCAGGGCCAGTGGAGACCTGAAGGGACAGTGGAGACATGCAGGGACAGTGGAGACCTGCAGGGACAGTGGCTGGGGCAGGACAGGCAGAGGGTGCTGTAGCGTGGAGAAGGGACAGAGAGAGAGGAGAGGAGAGGAGAGGAGAGAGAGAGAGAGAGAGAGAGAGAGAGAGAGAGAGAGAGAGAGAGAGAAAGGGCCAGATGGGGGAGTTGGTGGGGCCCTGGGAGAACCCAGTCTTAAGACAGGTTTCAGGCAGGCTAAGAGGGCTGTCCCTGCTTGGGAGACATGCTGGGTTTATTTCTCTTCCCCAGGACTGGCCTGGGCAGAGCATTGAGTCCTGCCAGCAGCCTCCAGGGTCCATGCTGAGTGCCTCACCTGCTAAGCCTGCCCCCCAGTCCCTGCAGCCCAGGCAAGCTACAGACAATCCTCCAAAACCTTCCCAAGTCTCTGCTGAGGCTGCCCTCCCTTGGGGGTGCCCTTCTCTTCTCCAACTCAAAACAAACTCCAACCAGTGGCCCAGGCTACATGTCCCCAGATACCTTTGCTGACTCCTTCAGGCCTCACGTACCACCCTCTGCAGGCCCTGCCTAACACACCAGGAGTCAACCCCCTGCCTCGCTGCCCTGGAAGACCACCATCCTGAGAGTGCAGCTGGTGAAGGCACAGGAGCTTGAAAGCCAGAGTTGTGTGGGATTGCTCTGTGCAGCATGGCCTGGCACTGAGCAGGCCATTAAGGGGTCCAGTGCATGAATGGACTGGGTGAGTAGATGAATGGATGAGGAGTGGGTGGTTAGGTAAGTTGAGGGAGGCAGATGGTGAGTGAGTGGATGGATGGATGGATGGATGGATGGATGGATGGATGGATGGGTATATGGGTGGGTGGGTGGATGGGTTGATGGGTGGGTGGATGGGTGGATGGGTGGGTGGAAAGGTGGATGGGTAGATGGGTGGGTAAGTGGATGGATGGGTAGATGAGTGGGTGGGTGGGTGGATAGGTGGATGAACAGATAGATGGATGATGGATGGATGGATAGATAGGTATTGGGTGAGTGGATGGGTAGATGAACTGGTGGATGGATGAGTGGGTGAATGGATTGGCAGGCAAATAGATGGGTGGGCAGACAGATGAACTGATGGGTACATGGACAGGTAGGTGAATGAGTAAGTGTGGGTAGATGGTTAGACAGGCACATGAGCTAACTTCCCCTCCACCTTCCATTGGCTGGGATTGAAGCCACAGACTGGCACAGCAATTCCATAAGTCTGTCCACACAGAGGAAAGTCCTCAGGGAGCTCACCATTTCTGCTGGAGAGCTGGGAGTGAGGTGGAATTCCTTGAGGTGCAGGAAGAAGCCTTCCAGCTGTCCAATGAGGAGGAGCAGGATGACGCCATCTGCAAACTGCAGGTGTCAGGATTCAGTCCTTCAGCTCAGGTGGTGAATGCCCCCCAGATAATGCACCGTTTGGGACACTTTGGGAGGTTGGGCTGGCTAGGTGAGGGCGGTTACTAGGGGTATGTTATCCCTGCCCTTTTCCCACTGGGCTCTCTGCTTCCTGCCCACCATGATGTGAACAGCCTTCCTCTGCCAGGTGTTTCTCTTGTCATGATATTCTGCTCAAGCGCGTGGGGCGAACCCTCTGAAACCAGGAGCAAAGTAAATCTTTCCTCTTAGGTGGTTTTTCTCAGGCATCTGTCCCAGTGAGGCAAAAGTAAGGAGCTAGAGGCTCTGGTGTGGGAAACACTGATGTCAGAGGGATCCCACTCTGCCTTTTACAGGCTGTGTGAGCTGGAGGAAGTCACACCACATCTCTGAGCCCCAGGTTCCTTTTGAGAAATGGGTATGACGTTCCCAGCTACATGGGGTTGTCAACAGCAACACAAAGCTGCCTGGTTCACAGTGTATGTTCAATAAAAAGAGCCAATCTAAACTCGCTGTGGAATAGCCCTGTGTCCAGTGCATGCATGCGCGTGTGCATGTGTGCATGTGCATGTGGAGGGAATGGGGGGACTTGCAAAGTAGGCTGGGCTGACTGCCTTAGCAAGTCCTAGGGACCCACTGGCTTTCCCAGCACTGGGATTAAAAATGCATGCCACCACTACACTGTGGGATTCTGGGATTGAATCAGGCCCTACTCCTTGCACACACTTTGCTAGCTGATCCATCTCCCCAATCCCCTTGTGTCCATTTTTAACTGACAAACTGTTCTTGAGCTATAGAAACACAGGCAAAAACAGAATTAAGTCTGAAATTATCCCATCAGGAACTGGCGCAGAGAGGCACACGACCCATTAATATTTCTGTCTATTCTGTCTGTATGCTCTGATAAAGCCACCGCCTCTGCCACAAGCACCATATGCTAATAGAATCCTATTGAATCTCTTCAAAGATACAAAACACAAGATTGGATACTGTGGAAAATCTGCTGCTTCAAGTCTTTAATGGAATTTCCTCCTATTAAGTCTGTTCTGATGTTATTAGTTCAGGCCTGGAATCTTCTCCACTGCTGTCCCCAAAATGCAGCTGGAAAACCTGACTCTGAGCCCTTCCCCCAATATCCCAAGGTTTCTGAATATCTCTCTCACACACACAAGCAGAGCACAAATGCGCCGTTCATTTCAGAGCCACAGTGAGGTTGCCATTATTGTACCCATTTTATAAAGTGAGAAGCCTAAGATTCAGAGAAGTGCAGTAACTCACCCAATGTCACACAGCCAAAATGGAGGTGTTCTCAGAGCCCGGAGGGCCATAAGTGGCAGGCACAGGACAGAACTGCATGTCTATTTGGACCCAAAGTCTGGTATTTCTGTCCCACCATGTTGTCACAGCATTCTCAAAGCTCACATGGCTATATGAAATGGCTATGAACACATACTTGAGCCTGGGTTCAAATCCTAGGACCAGCATTTAATCAACATGTGACATCAGGTCAGTTGCCTAACCTCTCAGTGTCTTAATGCTCAACAGATGATCTGTTGACCTTGTCCAGAGGCCACTGAGTTAATGAGCAGAAAGTACTTTGCTTAGGACAGGATGAGTACTGAGAGCTCTTTATCTGGCCACAGGCTCAGAAATATGTGACTAGGCCCTGCTCGATGTCTATCCAACATGGCAGCATCTGTGAACAGATTTTGCACAGGCCTTGAGATCTGCCTTCCGCCCTCTCTCATCATAGCAAACAGCATGTCTGGTAGGTGCTATTCAGTGTCAGCTGACCTCATCACCACCCTGTAGGGACCAGGCACTGTCAGAGTCTCAGCTCCTCTGTCCCTTGTGTTGCTGAAACACTGGGGACACAGAATCTCTGTGGACGGCCTTACTCAACTGAGAAACACTAGCTCTGTGGGCATCTGTTCCCACTCTAGGACAATTTGGTTAGCATCACCAAAGTAGGCTGAGTCCTCAGCACTCAGGAGACGTGGAGCCCACTGACCTCCAGACACGCTTGGCATCAACCTAGGAAATGGTCCTGGTGCAAATCTCAGAGCCACATTTGAGTGACTCCAATGGCAGGGGAGGATCCTCACTCTGAGTCCTGGTGTTGAATGTCTTAAGTTTCCTTGTGATAAGTCAGCAGCAGAGGGGTCTCCAGCTTCACAGAGCACCAACTGGTCCCCTCTCCCAGGGTCCTGGGGGAGGGTGGTCCCCAGAGGGTCCTATGCAGCACACCCCACCGAAGAGGGTCCTGAGGTCTCAGGAGGTGGCACCTCACCTCGGGTCACACAATGAGTTTCTGGGGCCCATGGAACCCTTCACCCTGCCTGGGGTTCCAGCAGTGTCCTTACCTGGGTGTCCAAACTCTGTACAGACAGGCCCAGGCGCTCCAGCTTCTGGTTAACAAAGCTCACAATAGCCTAATGACAGAAGATCAAGACCTCTTGAGCTACCCAGGGACCTGGGCATTACCACCTTCCCCCTGGGGTGACAGACAGTCCTCCCATGACACCTAGCACCCAGTAGGTGTGGCTGGAGGCCAGTGTCCTTCCCCATCACCCTGAGACAGAGGCAGGTGGGCGGCGGGGGTAGGTGGTCCGGCTAACAGCTTTGAGCTCCCCTACCTCTTTCACGGCGTGCACTTTCTCAGGAGCCAGCTTAAATAATTCATCAAAGACGTCCTCTGCAGACCAAAGCCCATAAAGAGTTCCTTATGATGCTATTATCGTTGTGTCAAATGGAATGTTTTTGCACAAAAGTTTCTCAGAATAACTAGCCCAGTGGGAACAATAGTTTGATCTCCTGATTCTTAAATGAAACAGGACTGGGTTTGGGGCACAGCTCCCCTGGGTATGTGGTAGAGAGGGTGGTGGGGACTGTCCTCCCCTCTCTGTGCTTCAATTTCTGCTTCTCAAATGCCTGTTGGATGACATCTGGTACTCTAGGTCATTTTAGAGATCAAAGTGTGTGACCGACACATAGCCCAGTGACTGCAGTACAATGAATCAGTAGGGGAGTGAGTGGATGGATGGATGGATGGATGGATGGATGGATGATGGATGGATGGATGGATGGATGATGGATGGATGATGGATGGATGATGG